TTAGGGGTTTAGGGTTTAGGCTGGTTTTGGGGGGTTTTGGGCTGATACGTAATGTTCAGTTTTTAGCCCCAACTCCGAACCTACACACTTGAAGCCCCTTTGCAGGAAGCATCAGAAACGGCTCAGGGGCTCTGGCTCAATTGATGTCCGTTCAGCGTTCAGCGCGGGGTGAATAGCAGGTTGAACCAGCGCTTGCTGGCAAAGTTCAGGTTGGAGCGTTTCTTCATGTTCGTTTCTTTTGTGTAGTCCACGTTTCAAAAGGTCCTACTGTGAATGTCAGGGCCCGTGTTTGTTGAATTATCTGCCACTTGGACCCAGTGCTCACGAGGTTGAAGATCTTGTCTTCTCTTACACCCCAAACCAGTACTCAGAAGCTTAGAGCAATGACGTTCTGTCCGCGCAGGTGTGCGTTCGGTTAGGGTTTAGGGCTGTAGGATTTGGGGCTTCGGTGATGCTTTGTGTCTTGAACTGTTGGCGTCTGGTTGTGTCGTTCTTTTGCATTGAACACTGTTTTCTTCATCTAGCTGCTGCTCGTTTATCTTCAGTCAGTATATGTCAGTGCTCTGATGGTCATTGTTTACATAGTATACATCCACAAGCCTCTTCGCCGAAATCGCTGACCAAGGAGTCTGCCAGATGCTGAAAAGCTTCTCGAAAAGGCGGCTTGTTCAAAGGCAACACCTATATCCTTTATAATCACGGAAGAAGAAACATAGTCCAAGCCTTTGCTCAACTCTTAGGTGTGCCCTAAAACCGGGAGGCCGTCTTTATGTTGCTGGTTTGTGGTCTGCAAGGCCAAGGCTTGAACTGTTACGTGTTTTTGCACTGCTTGAATCCGTCGCTAGCACCGTCTCTCATCACTGCCATCTCTTTCATCGTCTGCGTAGTAATGTAGGGGCCTTGATAATTAGAATAGGGTTGGGGGTATATTATACTATAATTGTAATAAGGAGCCCCAAGATACGATAGGTAGTTATTTAGGCTTCTATATTCGTCGTCGTAGCAAAGTAGAAGTGACAGTGCTAGTGCCGGGCATCTAGATACACTACTGTGACCGGTCATCTTGGTGATCTTGCTCTCCTGGCCCTAAACCCTAACTGCTAAACCCTAAACCC